AAATGCTGGGATTGAACAGCATTCTTACTTTGTACTGCCTTCTGTTTGTTTTGAAAACATTTGCATATGCCAATAAAGCAGACCAACAACTAGAAGCAGACATTATTATGAATTTCACAAAGGCCTCCGGATTTACACTATCCCTCATAGGGTATAACTGGAGAAGGGTTCAAGTGTGTTCTGCCTACTAGCAGTTAAGGGAAGTATATGACCATCCAATGATGGAAACTTCATGTCAAGCAGAAAGAGGGGGAACCTGAGAGCTGAAAACCTGTTCTTCAATATGGGAATCCTCAGTTTAGGAGATCCAAAAGGGTAATGCCTAGTCTCTAGCAGAAACTAGTGTAGAGTGAGAGGTAAACTCTGAATGCCCATGTGCTACTACTACTGTACAGGATGAAGGAGAAGGATGAGGTTCCTCCACTCCTTACACTTATCTCCTGCTTTGACATGGGCACACTCTCTGACCATCAGTAGCATTGTTAATGACAGGGTCAAGAGTCAGAAGAGATGAAGTCCCTGGAAAGACAACCAAATCAGATGTTCTTTTGATGTATGAGCGGCATCCCAGGCATGAAGCCAGAGTGCCCTATGCATGTGAATAGACATTAAGCCCAAGCAAGACCCAAGTATAGACGTTTGCAACAAACTATCACATCTAAGTTGTAAGGCTCCAGACATTTTCTCCAAGTGTTCTATAAAACAAGGGCCTCTCTCAGCAATAAAGGGGTCTTCCTTAATGGATTTTATTCATTCTGACACAATGTGACATATCAAGTCACAAATGGTATTGGAATAAGGGCCCCCCAACTGTTTATTAAAACCGGGATTTAGGAATGGAATTTAAAGATATGTCAGTGAAATTATGGAAGGTGAGATCATCATCTACCCTTTCATTAGTATGCCTATTAACATGGATCACCAAAATGGGAAATGCTCCAGCTGATTCTCAGGAAGAGCCCAGAATATCCATGGCATTTGCAGTCCTCATAGGAGAATGTCTTCAACGTGTGTAGCGGGAAGGTCTCTGTAAAAGTAGCTCTAGGTCTCGAACAGTAGGCGGATTCTCTAAATGCAGGGTAGAACACACTGCATCAAACAAGTTAGAAACTACCCCTTCTAAAGCTATGTCATCTGCACGTGGCTCAAAAGGAGCCTCTTTGGGAGTACACTTCTAGAACTTTAAAATCATATTAGTAACGGATGTCCCAGGCACAGGCTGATTTAGGGGCTCAGGAGGATCAGAGATGTACTCTGACAAAAATAGGGCCAGAGACTCTGCAAACGGGGCATAAACAGATAAAAAATCCAAAGTAAAGATGGTGGTCCTGGTGGACAGAGGGGAGGTCTTGGTCTTGAAAGTGCTAAAGGGGACAGGGACTCTGAAGATAATCTTATAACAATAGGAGTCCTCAGATTCTAGATTGCAGTTGTTGGTTCCTTCAGGGGATACTCAGTTAATTCCCCAAGAACCACTAGAACAGTGGTCCTCAACCTTCCTAATGCTGCGACCCTTTAATACAGTTCCTCATGTTGTGGTGACCCCCAACCATAAAATTATTTTCGTTGCTACTTCATAACTGTAATTTCTCTACTATTATGAATCGTAATTTACATATCTGATATGCAGGATGTATTTTCAAAGTTACAAATTGAACATATTTAAAGCATAGTGATTAATCACAAAAACAATATGTAATTGTATATTGTGAAATATTTTTATCACCCCCATAAAAATGCATCTGCCCCCAATAATGATGATTACCCCACCCCCCCTCTATAATGACCTATCACCCAATAAAAAATACATCTGCCCCCAATAATGATGATTACCCCCCCAAATACTCTGCCCCTCATCCCTAAAAAAAAGGCCCCCCCAAATGATAGTTTGTCTGCCCTTCTCCCCCTCTACAATAATTTATCACCCTCATAAATTATATATCTGTCCCTCATAATAATTTATCTGGGGGGGTACAATGAGAGCCCGCTCACATTACGATGGGGTAGTCACTAACCTGGATCTGCCCCCTTATCTTTTTGGGTGGTCCGGCCATGACATCGGCCACATTCAGGCAGTTCATGGGGTCGGCCGGTTGGGTCGTTTAGGGCGGGAAACTTTGGAATGTTCGGAGCAGCGGGAGATCTCCGCACAAATCCTCCACTTCAAACAGCTGCGTGCATTCTGGCACAAAGCCCGACCAATCAGGGACAGACCGGTCTACCAATCAGCGAAGGCATAGGGAGTTGAATCCCCCTCCCCGGATTCAGAGGGGGGCGTGCCCAGGAGTGATTGACACGTCTAACAGCTGCAGGTTTGGCGCCAGAATCAGTTGATGGAAATATTCTGGATTGTATAGATTCTATCCGCCTGGAGACAGATAGAGGAGCGGTGTCTCGGTTCCTAAGACCATCAGAAATATGTGTTTTCTGATGGTCTTAGGCGACCCCTGTGAAAGGGTCAATCGACCCCCAAAGGGGTCGCGATCCACAGGTTGAGAACTGCTGCACTAGAAGATCATGGGCTCTGGTCACCCGCAGCAGCTGAACCGTATTCCATGCATCTTTGAGAGGACCTGTTGTACCACATAGCAGACAGTAACTAGGCCCAATGTTAGGTAAAGCCTTGACTACTCAGAAACCCAGACAGCTGGTGCTGAGGGTTTCAGGCCACAGAGGTGATTGGGTCACTGTAGGCAGGCAGTGGAATGACACCTGAGACCAGGTGATCCATGTAGCACGAGTAGCAGCAGAATGGCCTTTTCTTTAGGCTAAATGATGGGACATCTATCTGATGGAAGTCTGTGCTTAGTCACTCAGTTTTAGGTCTTACTGCGGTAAAACTGTCAGTCTTGGGAAGTTTAAAAAGGCATCCAAAAGTGCGAAGATGAGGTAGCCCCTTGCACTTCGGTTCGACCTGCCATACTCCTTAAGCGAGTCTCCATAAACAGGGTAACACCAGAGGCTGTGCAATGGCTTGGATCTGGAAAACACTCTGAGGCTAACAGGACACCCAGGCCTTGAAGGCACCACAATGCTGAGACCAGTGCCAAAAAGTTACACTAGCCATGCAACCATCCAGCAAGGTCTGGGTATGGCCCCCAAAGCTATTGCTGAGAAGATACTGATCTGGATAGCTGCACAAGAAGCGACATGGAAGTCTTGACTGAAGTCAATGGGCAAAAAAAGAAAAAAAAAATTCTTTAGTGAAGTCACTAAGAAAAAACCTAAAAAGACAGCAGGCTTGCAAGAATTATTGAACTGCCTGTAAGTAGCATTATAACCCAACTGTTACTGAATTTGCTTGTTCTTTAATAGATGGTGGATATAAAGCCAGTTATACTAAATAGTGGTGAAATAACATGATTTTCACAAAGAAAAAAAAAAACCAACAAACCACACGCCGCAAAAGGGTGAAATCTGTGGTCACCAAAACAAAGGAAAAAAAAAAAAGGGAACCTTTTTTTCCTAGGGTACCAAAAGATTTGGCTTGATGGAAATCAGCAAAGTCAATTCAGAAATAAAAAAAGAATTCTGCTTTAAAGTTGGACTCAAGGAGTACATGAATGCATAGTATAAAATCAGAGCCTGCCCAGTATTCATTGGCAAAAATAGAAGGCATTCCTGAGCAGCAGAGGGATGGGACAGCCAATGAAGTGAAATTAACCACTTCAAGTCAGGACACTTTTACACCCTTCCTGTCCAGGCCAATTTTCAGCTCTATCACACTTTAAATGAGAATTGCGCAGTCATGCAACACTGTACCCATATTAATTTTTTAGCATTTTTTTTTGAGACAGATAAAGCTTTATTTTGGTGGTATTTATTCACCACTGGGGATTTTTATTTTTTTTTGCTATGTAAATGAAAAAGTCCAAAAATTTAGAAAAAGTGTTTTTTCTTATAAAATTTTGCAAATAAATATTTCATCATAAATCTTGGCCAAAATGTATTCCGTTATCTTTTTAGTTAAAAAAAAAAAAAATTAGTTTATAACCAAAAATTATAATTTTTAAACTTTCTTAAATTTTTTTTTTTTTTCTTATATTATTTATGTTTTTTTTTTTTTTTTTACATACTGTCACCCTACCAGTACAGTGTCACCATGGTGACACTGTACTACTTGTGGGGGGTGATTATTTTTTTTTATTTTTTTACACTGATTACTTTTATAGCCATAAAGGATGTAAAAGCAATCATTTCTCCTACTGTCTGGCTGCATTTTTGCAGCCACTGAGAAATACTGGGAGAGCTGTGATTGGTCACAGCTTGTCACATGGTACAAGGCTGTTGTGAATAGCCTTGCACCATGTGACCTCTGATCCTTCACAGATTTCACACGTAGTAAGCAATCTCAGAAGTGACATCTTGCTTACTACTCTGCATGTGATCACTGATTGGCCAATCACTGATCACATTATCGGGACCTCGCACAGAGGTCCCGTATGACAATCAGTGTTCCACTGTGTCTGGAGGACACAGCGGGCACTGGATCTCGGTGCTGCTCCCAGGGAGCGCGCACAACCAGGGGGCAGGGAGGCCATTTATAAACGGCCACCCAACCCTGCACTGCCACCGTCAGGCCGTTTATATACAACGGCCGGACGGGAGGTGGTTAAACTCTCCAGAATGCGGGGAATTTCCCATTGGACTGTCAGCACTGGAATAAAGGTCTACAAATGAAAGAACAATTCCCCCCTCTAATCCTATACAACTGACAAATCAAAACTTTGGATTTTCCCAATCATGACTGGTCTCAGCCTCAATGGCCAACCACGAGGTTTAATCTCTTTAAGTCAGGACACAAAAATAAAACTTGATGGGCGTTCTAACTTTGCCACTTTATAAAAAAGTAAAAAAAAATTCTGCTTTAAATATACTTTCAATATTTATATGCAAGACGAATATTTAAGAAAATATATTTTAAATACATTACAAATACAGTAAAACAAAAACGTAACAAGAAATACAAAAGGAAATCTGGGGACACAAGCTATACTTACCAAGACCTTTAGACATCAGTGTGGCCCTGGACTCTGTGAGACCGGGGAAATGTGGCTTGATGAGATCCTCCATGGTAACCGTGGCCAGAGAGTTAAATGCAGAGGAGATGGTGCTGAGAACAGATAACTGAAGTCCGTTATATAGCACAAGTGACAAAAAGAATGCCCCATCCCTTTTCTGCAACTTGTATACATGAATAGAGAGGAAACAATCATACTTGCCTATACCCTTGCGATTTTTTTTTCTGTGTCCTGCCTCTGTGCTGCCTGGATCCCGGTCCTTTGACGCCATTTTTAAAATGTCTGTGATACTGCACATGCATGAGCTAAAGCGCAATATGCCATGTGTTTCATCTTGAACATAGGCAGTAGGACAATGCTGTGAGAGCTTGCAAGATTTTGCAGTTTAGGTTCAAGATTTCACTGAAGGAAATGGTGATGTTACCTTCCAAGGGGGCTATGCCACCACTGCCTTCAGGGAAACCAGAAAGAGAAAAAAAAAAAAAAGAAAAAAAAAAAAAGTGTTTCTAGAGATGGATGTGGATGTGAAATTTATGGAAAGGGTGGGGTTGGTCTGCTTTAATTTCAGTCCTGGTGACAAATATAACTGACAGAGTAAAGTTGAATTGCCCAAAAACATGCATTTTCCCCTCTATGTTCAAAAATTAAAGTGTGACTTAAAGCGGAGCTTCACCCAAAAGGGGAAGTTGTGCTTTAAGTCCTCCTCCCCCTAAGATGGCATGTAATTTTGGGAAAGGGGGAGCGGGTACCTAGTTCTGACACGTACCGGTTTCCCCTTGACTCGAACCGCGTAGGCCAGCCATTCTCAACCAGGGTGCCCAGGAACCCTGGGGTGCCTTGAGGTTTCTTCAGGGGTGCCTTGGCAAAATGTCTACAAATTGCTCAAAACTTGAATGCAAGCCAGCGGGTGGAAAATGCCTGCCTTTTCGTTACACAAAGCCACAGGTTTTCATTGTGCACCATTACCACCTTCTGGCCATTGGCATCCTGACAACCAATGACATCATCAGTTAAGGAGGATTTTGGATGCCTGCACAACATCCTAGTTTGACACTCCCCTGCCCCTTTCCCTCAGTGCTGGGGTCACATTAGCTCAATGAAGGAGAAAACGTGAGGGAGAAGAGAAACAGTGGCATACTAGTCAGTACCAGTGTGCAAAAGTGTATTTGCTTTAGAAGAATAAATCCCTTCTAATGTTGGGTGTCCTACATGTGTGGATGTTGCTGTGTTATAGAAAACTATTAGAATCTTTTTTCACATTTTAGAATGGGGTGCCTCAAGACTGTCCATCATTTTAAAGGGTGTCTCAAGACTGTCCATCATTTTAAAGGGTGCCTTGACTGAAAAAAGGTTGAGAAACACTGGCCTAGGCGATCAGAGCAAATGTTCTCCTGTCCCCAGAGCCTTCTGGGACATGTCCCTAGTCCCAGAAGACTGCGGGGACCATCCACAAAACACAGTACGGTTCGTGCATGCACAGTGGGCACCCAGCTGTGAAGCCGCAAACTGTCACAACCGGTGCCCACACATAAATTGCTGGCGTCAGGAACCCGAAGGCTAGTGAAGGACTAGCCCGGGTGAAGACGCCACTGATTGCATGGAAAGGTATTTGTTCTATTAAAACTGAGCAGCTACAAGGATTTGTAGCTGCTGACTTCTACTTTTTTGTTGCAGAGTGGAGAACAGCTTTCTAAACTGGACATAACAGTCACAGAAATCCCCATAGGCATTCCTTCAGAGCCAGAACAAGGACATACTGTATGTATATACCTACCTGAGGGCTCCACTGAACAGACAAGCCACAAACAGACCTGGAAGACCGGGAAAATCCTGCAGAATGTCAATGACAAAGTGTAGTACCATCTGGACAGGAAAACAAAAAATACATTACACAGGAATTAATAGTTTAATAAAAGTTTCATTCTGGAAAAAAAAACAAACAAAAAAAAACCCCCTTTGCATATGCTTTAATACAAATTGCAAAAATGAAATACAAATACAGATCACTCCAGAAAATGGTAGTTGCTTAGCTGTCGGGCCAATTCTCTGACTTCAGTGCTTTTTAGGCTGATGACCCAATAATCGTATGCAACAAGCAAATCAGAGTGAAGTTAGACTTCCTGATATATTTCCCTATAGTCACTGTATAAGTAGAACAGCCAGGAAACTAACATTTTCAGAATGAAGTTGGCAATGTCAAGTTTAAGTTTCCTGCATAAGTGTCGCAAGAGTGACATTTTTCCACTTTATCCCCCCTATACTTACCTTACCAGCGTTCCTTCACCACTCCTTCCCTGAAGACGGCGCCGATATGACATTGTCAGTAATCAAATCATATGACAACTCGTGAGCCTATCAATTGATTGCTAGGCTATGCACATATTCCGCCATACCTGGCTATAGAAGAGGAAAGCATGGCGAGGAAATGCTGGTAAGAGGCTCAGGAGGCCATTTGAGGGGACACGGTCACTTTGCTCTGCCTGGATGAGAGGAAAGGGTCTCTTTAACCACTTCCAGTCCAGCCCGTGTATATAAACGGCTGGACAAGAGCAGTGCAGGGGCAGGTGGCCATTTATAAATGGCCTCCCACCCCCTGCTTGTGCGAGCGCGCAGCACCGCGATCCGGTGCCCGCTATGTCCTCCGGACACAGTGGAACACCGATCGTTGTACGGGACCTCTGTGTGAGGTCCCGATCATGTGATCACTGATTGGCCAATCAGTGATCACATGAAGAGTAGTAAGCAAGATATCACTTCTGACATCATTGCTTACTACGTGTGAAATCTGTGAATGATCACAGAGGTCACGATACAGGGCTATTCACAACAGCTTTGTACAATGTGACAAGCTGTGACCAATCACAGCTCTCACAGTATTTCTCAATGGCTGCAAGTATGCAGCCAGAGAGGAGAAATGATTGCTTGTACAGCCTTTATGGGTGTAAAAGCAATCTGTGTAAAAAAAAAATCTTCAGAACCCCCCTCCACAAGTAGTACAGTGTCACTATGGTGACACTGTACTGCTAGGGTGACAGTATGTAAAAAAATAGTAATAATATAAAAAAAATAAAATGTAAAAAGCAAATTTAGAAAAATTATAATTTTTGGTTATAAACTAATGTTATTTTTTTGTTTTTTTTTACTAAAAAGATAACTGAATACATTCTGGCCAAGATTTATGAAGAAAGATGCAAAATGTAATAAGCAAAACACTTTTTTTAAATTTTGGACTTTTTCATTTATATAGCAAAAAAATAAAAATCCCAGTGGTGAATAAATACCACCAAAATAAAGTTTTATCTGTCTCAAAAAAATGCTAAAAAATTCATATGGGTACAGTGTTGCATGACCGCACAATTGTCATTCAAAGTGTGATAGCGCTGAGAGCTGAAAATTGGCCTGGACAGGAAGGGGGTGAAAGTGTCCGGACATGAAGTGGTTAAAGCATATCTAAACCAAGATTTTCCAATTTCTGATAGAACAGGAAGTGGCTAAAAGTTTTTATTTTCTCATTACACTGTAAAATTTAGCATTTTCGATTACTGTCTCAATGACATTAAGTCCTCAGTCACACTGGGTATGACTTGGCATGCGATTCGCATGCCATTCAACTTGCAAAATCGCACCCTATTGTCTGCAAATACAGCGGTTATATCGGTGTGGTTCCGGTCGGTTCCGCAACGATTTCTAAAGTAATTCATGCGCTACGTTCGTGCGATGTGCAAGACATCTGACACAGACATCTATGCAAATCACATCTCAGTTGGCATGTCATCTGACTTTGAAATCGTGCAACTTACAGTGAAGTCGCACGATTTCAAAATCGGGATCTGTGTGACCAGGGTGTAAGGCAAGTTAGAGGGGGCAAAATTGCCCCTCACCCCTTCCTTCCAAAACAGACCTGCTCTAGATGCACTAAGTACACCGAGTCTAAACCTCAAGATAATGATCAGGAGATTTATCAGTAGAGCAAAAAACATCAATCCATCAATTAACAAATTTTTCCACAACATTCTAAAAGTTTGTTTTTTGGTGTAAATACAGCAGTGTGGTTGATTCTGACCATACTATTCATGACTGTTGCAAAGCCAAAGCTCCCTGTCAGGGCATGCTAGGACCTTTAACTCCTCAAATTTGGGGCAGCACAGTGGCTAAATGGTTAGTACTTCCGCCTGGCAGTACTAGGGTTGTTGGTTTGAAGTACGGCACCACCTGCCTAGAGTTTGCATGTGCTCCCGGTGCCTGTGTGGGTTTTCTCCAGGTACTCCAGTATCCTCTCACTCCAAAAGGAGGTAAATTCGATCCTGTATAAAATTGGCCCTAGTATGTGTATGTATGAATGTGAGTTAGGGACCTTAGATTGTACACCCCTTGAGGGTTAGGGACTGATGTGAATGTACAATATATATGTAAAGCGCTGCGTAAATTGACAGCGCTATATAAGTACCTGAAATAAATAAAATAAATAAATATCTACATCTTTCCATACAAGCACCTGGTAAGCCATGGAAGTTACCTGGTCTGGGACAGCTTTGATTTCAGGGGTGAAGATATTATTCTTTTGGTCATAAGCAAACATCACCAGGCCGGTCAAACATCCCAAAGCCAGAACCAATTGCTGGCAAGGGAACACAGCGTAGCAGGACCTGGGAAAATTAAACAGAATTGCAAATTACTTTCAACCAGTCTCAGAATTAGCACAAGTCAATGCCGGCCAAAGCTAAACTGCAGACAGAAATAAAAGGCACAAATTAAAGCCGAATTCCAGGAATTCAGAAACTTTACAAAGTGCAAGCAGACTATGGGTTAAGTCCAATTTGGTGCATGTTACCCGCAGGACTTATAGCTATTATTTATACATGACAGGTTTATTGCTGGTTGATCCTGCCAGTTCCCAAGTGGTAAACTAGCCACACAAAGCATGGCAGCTGTTCCATGCTGGCGTGGTCAGTTTGTGTTCCCTTCTCATCCTGTTAGATACAGGCAAGCTGTGCAAGTGCACAGAGTGCCAATATCTTCCGTGGTCAGCGTAAAGCTCCTTCCCCTCTCATCCCTCTTCCGTTGATTAAAAGAGGCTTCCCCAGCTAGCTGATCCCCAGCCCCAATTTAGACATGACCACCTGCTGTTTAAAGCCACGCCCCCACCCATCCGTCCTCCATTGATTGACAGCGATTCCCCAGCCCGAACCCCAACCTTGATGTGGACACGCCCATCTGCAGGTCCATGCATCGCCCAGAAAGGAAAAGTGATCATGTGACCTGCACTTTTCAAACAGAAAAACAGATCTAGGTACATTTTTTACATTATACTTACGGATGAATGCACTGTACTTCTATATCGATTTAAAAATGTATATAGGATTAGTAAAGTTCACAACTACTTTAGGACATCAATGGGCCTGAGGATGTTTATGATGCATGCATGATGTGCCCTACCACAGGCACCGAGAGTTGCCGGGAGCCAAAACATGACAACTTGGCTCAGCTGGTCATCACAGGGCAGAATATACTTTGGAAATTTTCTTCACATGCGTCATGTCCCCGATGACACTACTGTAGGTTGGCACAGGCACAGCACACCTACCACAGCGTGAACACAGACACATTAGCCTGGCTGTGTGCATTAGGAGGTCATATTAGCTGCCCTCAAAGCTCCCTTTTTGGCAGGTTGTTCCTCTCTAAAATGTTGGACCAACCATAACAAATAAGAAGGGAAACCGATACCAAAGCACCGCACATTCCCTTTATACACCATTACTCACATGATGGCTTCCTTCTCGGTCCGTGAACTGAGGTAGCGCTGCACTTGGGCTTGGTTCACCCCATACAATGACAGCATCAGGAAAATTCCTCCAATACCCAGGGACCAGATAGAATGCCGGGTGAACGGATCTGGGTTTAAGCTGTAATGAGAGGAAGGGTTGAGGAGATTGGAAAAAATAAGAACTTATACATATCTGCTTGGCAACTAAAAGGTGAGATTTTCATCACAGGTTTCATACAGTGCAGGGCTGCCGTTAGAAATCATAGGGCCCCATAGAGTCAACCTGACAGCCCCCCCCCCCCCTAAAAAAAACAGGTATGAACACAGTGTACGATTGGTACCAATCACTCATTGTGTCCATTCAGGAAAGGAAAGAGGCTGGTAAAAATGTGACATATTTGTCGGACCCTTTACCCCCCACTCTCCATTCTGAAGAATCCTATTGTGTGCTTGCAGTTGCCGGTGGAACGAAAGGAATGGAAGACGGTAGCACTGCAGGGATGGAAACCTGTGCAGCAGGAGGAAATGTATGACGCACAGGAATGGTGATGGGTGCGGTGAAGGCAATTACTGGAACCGATCCCCTGTATGGCTCTCTTGGCAGCAGCTGAAGGCCAACAGGAGGGAAAGGAAAAGAAGCCAGCTTTCAGCTGCTGCAGAGAGAGCCATACGGAGGATCAGTTCCAGCAAATGCCCCCCGCCATGCCAGTCACCCTCCCTGTTAACATCTCATTCACCCATCTGCCTGGTCCCCATACAGGACGACTGGTGGCACCCCTTTATGCATGGCTCTCTGCATTCATAAAGTATTTAGACCCCCTTCATTTTTTTTTTTTTAATTTTGTTACATTCTGATACTACAGTTTATATATGTATACACTACAATTTATATATACTACAGTTTATATATTTTTTTCTCATTAATCTACACTCAGCACCCCCCCATAATGACAAAGTGAAAACAGAATTTTAGAAATGTTTGCAAATGTATGAAATATAAAAAACGGAAATACAACAATGGCATAAGTATTCAGACCCTTTGCAACAACACTTGAAATTTAGCTCAGGTGTTTCCCATTTCCTCTTGATCGTTGCTGAGATTTCCACACCTTGATTGGAGTCCACCTGTGGTGAATTAAATTGACTGGATATGTGGAAAGGCACACACCTCTATAAAAGGCCTCACAACAGACAATGCATACTGTATCAGAGCAAAATCCATGAGGTCAAAAAGGACCTGCCTGCAGAGCTCAGAGACAGGAATAATGCAAGACACAGATCTGGAGAAGGCTAGAAAGAAAAATTCTACTGCACCAAAGGTTCCAAAGAGCACAGTGGTCTTCGTAACTCTCAAATGAAAGAAGTTTGGAAGAACCAGGCTTGTCCAAGAGACGGTCACCCCAGGCAAAACTGAGCAATTGGGGGAGATAGACTTTAGTAAGAGAGGTGACCAACACCGTGATGGTCACTCTGACTGAGCTCCAAAGACCCTGTGTGGAGACGGGAACAAAGTTTCAGAAGACAAAAATCACTGCAGCCCTCCGCCAATCTGGGCTTTATGGCAGAGGGACAAGATGGAAGCCTCTCCTCTGTGCAAACAAATGAAAGCCCGCTTGGAGTCAGCAATGATCAGGAAAAATGGGAGGCACCTGAGCTAAATTTAAAGTGTTGTGGCAAAGGGTCTGAATACTTATGCCAATTGTGATATTTCAGCTTTTTATTTTTAATAAATTCTGAGAAATTTCTAAAATCCTGTTTTCACTTTGTCATTATGTGTAAATTAATGAGAAAAAGGACGGTAGTGTCAGGCTGCAACATAAAAAGAGAAGGTGGGTCTGAATACTTTATGAATGCACTGTATATCTACAGAACCAAAACCTTGTGCTCTAGGTAGTTCAGTTTAAATACACAAGATCATATGGAAAAAAAAAAAAAAAAAAAAAAAAAATAGTATTTGCAGTCCAGGATTGTCATAATGCAGCCCCAATGGGTCTCTTGGTATACGCTACCACAACTTGCTTCCACCACGACCGAAATGTTGGCACCTTGATTATTCCAAATGGTAACCTACACGTGTGCCCTAACCCCATGAAAAGTGCAAACATACCAAACATGGTGAGAGCTGGACAGTTTACATCTTTTCAGATGAGCTTTTGACATAAACACAGGCACACAAAATATGACAATCGACATCCAATGTGTAGTCAGATCCATCGGATCAAGCAATGGCCATTGCATGTCTACAGGCCCTGAAACAAAGCTTAAAAGTAGAACCTCATCCTTTTCTTTATTATGTAACACGAGATACAGTTTTATAATGTCAAATATCATCCACTTACTTAACCCCGGAGATCTTATGGTGGTCAATGGCGACTTGCCAGACGTTCTTAATGCCGCCCACCTTTGCGGTACCAACAATGATAACCGCAAGCTGTCCAGCAAACATCACCATTGTCTGAATGACGTCTGTCCAGATAACGGCCTTCAAACCTCCCTGGGAATAAGAGCATAAAACCAGTCAAGACAGGAAAATTACCACCCGGACCCTCAATACATACATACAAACATACATACATAAAAGCAAGAATGACAAATGGAGGACACAGCATGGAGGTGAAACAACCCCCTTGTATGCATCACTTCCACAATACAGTGCCTTGAAAAAGTATTCATACCCCTTGAAATTTTCCACATTTTGTCATGTTACAACCCAAAGGCCAACACAAAGTGGCACATAATTGTGAAGTGGAAGGAAAATGATAAATGGTTTTAAAAATGTTTACAAATAAATAATTGAAAAGTGGGGAGTGTATTTGTATTCAGCTCCCTGGAGTCAATACTTTGCAGAACCACCTTTTGCTGCAAATCTTTCGGGGATGTCTCTACCAGTTTTGCACATCTAGAGAGGGACATTTCTGCCCATTCTTCTTTGCAAAATAGCTCAAGCTGTCCGATTGGATGGAGAGCGTCTGCGAACAGCAATTTTCAAGTCTTGCCACAGATTCACAATTGAATTTAGGTCTGGACTTTGATTGGGCCATTCTAACACATGAATATGCTTTGATCTAAACCATTCCATTGTAGCTCTGGCTGGATGTTTTGGGTCGTTGTCCTGCTGGAAGGGGAACCTCCGCCCCAGTTTCAAGTCTTTTGCAGACTATAACAGGTTTTCTTCTAAGATTGCCCTGTATTTGGCTCCATCCAGCTTCCCATCAACTCTGACCAGCTTCCCTGTCCCTGCTGAAGAAAAGCATCCCCACAACATGATGCTGCCTCCATCATGCTTCATGTTGGTGTGTTCAGGGTGATGTGCAGTGTTTTCCACCACACATAGCTTTTTGCTTTTAGGCCAAAAAGTTCAATTTTGGTCTCATCTGACTAGAGCACCTTCTTCCATATGTTTGCTGTGTCTCCCACACAGCTTATCACAAACTGCAAATGGATCTTCCTATGGCTCTCTTTCAACAATGGCTTTCTTCTTGTCACTCTTCCATAAAGGCCAGATTTGTGGAGTGTACGACTAATAGTTATCCTGTGGACAGATTCTCCTACCTGAGCTTTGGATCTCTGCAGCTCCTGCAGAGTTACCCTGGGCCTCTTCTCTGGTTAATACTCTCCTTGCCCGGCCTGTCGGTTTAGGTGGATACGCTTTCCATTTTCAGATGATGGATTGAACAGTGCTCTGTGAGATGTTCAAAGCTTGGGATATTTTATTTTTATAACCTAACCCGGTTTTAAAATTTATCCACAACTTTATCCCTGATCTGCCTGGTGTGTTCCTTGGCCTTCACGATGATGTTTGTTCATTAATGTTCTGTAACAAACTTCTGAGGGCCTCAGAGAACAGCTGTATTTATACTGAGATAAAATTACACACAGGTGGACTATTTACTAATTAGGTGACTACTGAAGGCAATTGATTGAACTAGATTTTAGTTAGGGGCATCAGAGTAAAAGGGGTCTGAATACAAATGCACACCACACTTTTCAAATATTTGTAAACATTTTTGAAAACCATTTCTCATTTTCCTTCCCCTTCACAATTATGTACCACTTTGTGTTGGTCAATCACATGAAACCCCAACAAATACATTTACGTTTTTGGTTGTAACATGACAAAATGTGGAAAATTGCAAGGGGTATACATACCTTTTTCAAGGCACTGCAGGTAGATGCACCGCGCTCTTGCTGGGGATGCCGTTTTCACCAGTGAGGGACTATGCTTCCTGATTTAGCCAGCGAGGGAGTAACAAGTACAAGTGGGATGAATGTTCTTGCACATTTTATCACGCCTGCTGCTGACATTTGGTCTAACTGACATCTGTAAACTAAATATGCCATCTCCTGAAATGTATTAAGTGGAATGTAACACAAGTTCAAGATCAGCTATATTATAGGGAACATCTAGAAGTATTACAGTATCTAGGCAGTACCATGAAAAAAATGTACCTAATGTCTGGAATTCCTCCAGTGCACATCCTGGTATGAGTGTGTCACTGTATATCTGCAGTGTGAGATCTAAGGCACTGCTGCCTCTGACTTCTAGTCTGTGGAGACTTGGCGATGTCTTTACAGTGCTGCTCACTGATCTCTTTACTATTGACATGAAAAAGCAAAATCCTGTCTTCACCAACATGGCCGTTTCTATACAGAGACAAAAAGGCAGAACTAGACATTGTAAGTCGGTAATGGAGAAAGATCAGACTTGGGGGCACCGCAGGCAATTCTAGCAACTAGTCTCTTGCCCTCAGCTTTCCTTTTTTGTACACAGCTTCCAGAGTTCAAGTGATGACCAAAATACATACATACACACACACACACACACACACACACACACACACACACACAGATACGTATAAGTGGTTTATCGGGATAATCAGCCATTGTCACAATCATGCCCACAGGGAGAGGTGCGGTTCTCCATTTTACCCAGAACTTCTACATTTTGGTATTGCTCTTAAACTCATATGCCATCACCTGAGGGGTAGGGGGGGGGGGGGGAAGGTGTAGTATCGTGCATACAAGAGCCAGGCACAGGCTCTCACTGTATTAAGAAGTCTTCTGTATCCCCTCATTCCGCCCCCTCCCTCAGGAATGCGTTCAGTGTAGCGGTTTAAACAATCCTCTTGCCAAATAAGGTAGTGAAGATACCAGTTGATTTTGTGTACAAAAAGAAGCTGTTATGTTTTGCGTTTAGTCAGAGAAGTGAGGACCGTCTTCAATAAAACGTCTATCGGACAGAAAGCAAAGGAGAATCTCACTGCAACAAAGAAACCGAGTGCGAGACCAGAAATCCCTTTTTAGCTTATCAGACTTGAAACTGCTTAACCCCAGGCATTTATTTGGCAAGTACTCATTTACCTAAACTTCTGTTTGCTGTGCATGTATATCTATCTATCTATCTATCTCTCTCTGTCTCATCATATCTATCTCGATCTAGATATCTATCTCTATCTCATCATTTTTACTGCACCCTTTTGGTAATAAATCTTACTTTCTAGAAGTGTTGAACTGTTTCTATAGCTCCTGAATGTAACTTACGAATCCCTGCAGCTGAAAAGCGCTACTATGAGTATTTAACCCTCTGTATAACCGGTCTGTAGAGATAGCGGGATAATGACAGTTAACCAATCATCCTAGTGTACTGCTGAGTTTCCTCTTTCTCTGTACAAAAAGGAGGTGGTGGCAGTGTGAAGGGTTAATTGTGTAATTCCTCATAGGTGTTGGATTGGGTTCAGATCAGGAGACATACTTGGCCACTGAATCCCTTTCACCCTGTTCTTCAGAAATGCCACAGTGGCCTTAGATGTGTGTTTTGGATTATTGTCATGTTGGAAAAGTGCATGACGACCAACGGCACAGAGTGATGGTAGCATCTTCTTTTTCAATATAGAGCAGTACATTTGTGAATTCATGATATCATCAATGAAATGCAGCTTCCTGACACCAGCAGCACTCATGCAGCCCCACAGAAGGACTTACACCACCACGTTTCACTGTAGGCACCATGCATTTTTCTTTGTACTTCTCACCTTTGCGTTGCCATTCAGTTTTGAAGCCATCAGTTCCAAAAACATTTGTCTTGGTCTCATCACTCCAGAGTACAGAGTCCCAGTAGTCTTCCTCTGTTTCAGCATGGGCCCTGGCAAATTCTAGATGGACCATTTTGTGCATGGGCTTTAGGAGAGGCTTCCTTCGTGGACAACACCCCGTGCGTGCCATTCCTCTACAGTGTACACCGTATTGTGTCATGGGAAACAATCACCCCAGTTTAGTTTCTACTTAAGCTAACTGCAGTGAACATGGATGGCGATTTTCTTGAACCCTTCTTATCAGGAGATGCTCCTGTTGAGGTGTTAACCTCCATGGATGGCCTGGACGTCTCTGTGAGGTGGTTGCAGTTCCATCTTTGTTATCTTTTTGGATCACTTTTGCTGCAGGATTCTAACTAACGAGTAAAGCTTTGCTGATCCTATTGTAGCCTTCACCTCTTTTGTAAGGAAATTTTCTCTCAGGCCTTGAGACATTTCTCTTCCATGTGGTGCCATTGCTGACAGCATGAAATGGGTTTTCTTTAAGCAAGGCCCTTTTATAATCAACTGTCTGCTGGACACCTGTTTAATGAATAATTAGACTCACCTGTAGCTTAATTCTTGTTAATTAGGATTTTGTTGTCCAAAATTTAGCTTTGCTCCTAATGCAGGCCATAGACGGGGAGAAAAACGGCAGATTTTTCTTTTAAAAAACGAAAAATCGGTTGTTCAAGCGGCCGACGTTACCATCAATGGTAAAAAAAAAAAAAAAAAAAAAAAAAAAAAAAAAAAAAAAAAATCGGCCGATTTGCCCATTATTGCCGCGAAAATCGCCCGATTTTTTTTCCAACTTTACTGAAAAAAAAAAAAACAGCCAAAATACCACAAAACGGCCGAACAAATAGCCCACTAACGATCCGAAAATCGTCCGATTTTATTTTCGGCCGATTTTCGACCCATCTATGGCCTGCATAAGACTTTCATTGGGGTGTATTAATTTTTTGCAACATGGTCTTGAGTGAATTTGTTAGGAAAAATATTTGTGTGCGCAAATTAACAAATCTAGTTTGCACTCAATGGCTGGCATTTCTGGGAGTATTTTGTAGTATAGTGTCCCACAGAAAATGTTGATTCTGGAAGGAAAGTAAAGGTTTTCTGACAAATTTGGGTGTACTCATTTATGCTGAGCACTGTATATGGACAGTGTAAAAATAAAATAAATGTTTTTAATGTGCCCCCATGCAGAAGTAAACGCATATTTAAGTCGAGCACACATATGTAAACGGTGTTCACAGCACACATGTGAGGTATCGCCACAAACGTTCGAGCGAGAGCAATAATTCTAGCACTAGACTTCCTTTGAAACTCTAAACAGGTAACCCCTAAAAATTTTAAAGCGTCGCCTATGGAGATTATTAAGTACCGTAGTGTGTCGCCAGGAGAATGCACAATTTTAAAGCATGACATGTTAGGTATCTATTTACTCACCGTAACATCTTATTTTCCAAAAAAAAATTTTTTTTTTTTTTTTTTTTTTTTTTTTTTAAAGTAACACAAGCTATCATCACTTTAATACAGTGAAAATCTGCAACAGTGAAAAACAAAAAAAGCATCCTGTGCTCTCCAAGGCTAGGTTCACACCTTTGCGTGTTGTATTTGATGCATTTTTCTGGTGCATTGTGTTTTTGAATACGCATGTGATTATTTTTGGCAATAGGAAAATATTGACTTTGATGCCACTTTGGATGGGTGCGACTTGGGATGCATCTTTGATGCTACTTGAGTGCCAGAGAGCGTAAAGTCACATCAAAGTTGCACTACATGAACAGAACTGTCATTCTTTCCTTCATAAAAAAAAAAAAATTATAAAGTCGCACCCATCCAAAATCACATTGTCATAAAAAAAAAAAAAAAAAAAAAAAAAAAAAAAAAAACACAACAACCCCCCCCCCCCATGCCAAAAATGCACTACATGCATTTCTGCTGCATGTCCATTGAAGTCTACTGAACCAAAAACACATTGTGCTGCTTTTAAAAAAGTCCCTGACCCTTTCCAAAAATGCAGCGGCTGAAAAAAAACAGATGTGCCCCATAGGAAACCATGTTATAGCGACTGTAGTGCGTTTCTGCAAAATGCATAAAAAAAACGCATAGGTGTGAACCAGGCCTAGGAATAACATGGCAACTTGTTTTGCTCTTTACCAACCAGTTAACCTCTTGCCGACCGCGCATAGCCGAATGACGGCTTCACCGCGGCCAGCCAGTTCTGAGTGGACGTCATATGACGTCCTCCCAGAACGCGCTCTCCTGCACGCCCCAGGGGGCGTGCACCCGGCGATCTCCGTGATCGCTGTGTCCTACGGACACAGCTGATCACGAGATGTGGTAAAAGGCCGATCATACCGGCCTTTTACCACGTGATCAGCGGTGTCCAATGACACGCTGATCACAGGGAAATGCAAGTGCCGGTTCTCGGCTGCACTTTCCTCACGCTGTCAGATCGTGAGGAAAGTACTGCCGAGAACCGGCAGTTGTCAGAGCGGGGATCGGCACTGATCATCAGGGCCCTGATGATCAGTGCCCTGATGATCGGTGCCCAGCAGTGACACCCGCAAGTTCCGCCCAGCAGTGCGCCCACTAGCTCCGCCCACCCGTGCCCAGCAGTGCACCCACCTGTGCCCAGCAGTGCACCCACCTGTGCCACTCTGCAGTGCCACCTACCTGTGCCCAGAAGTGCCACCTACATGTGCCCAGAAGTGCCACCCACCTGTGCCCACCAGTGCCACCCACCTGTGCCCACCAGTGCCACCCACCTGTGCCCACCAGTGCCACCCACCTGTGCAGCCCAGCAGTGCTGCCAGTCAGTGCCACCAGTCAGTGCCCAGGGGTTGTGCCAGTCAGTGCCGCCAGTCAGTGCCCAGCAGTGATGCCAGTCAGTGCCGTCTATCAGTACCCATAATCAGTGTCACCTATCAGTACCCATAATCAGTGTCACCTATCAGTGCCGCCTATCAGTGCTGCATATCAGTGCCGCCTATCCGTGACCCTAATTAGTGCTGCCTATCAGTGCCCTTTAGTGCTGCCTATCAGTGCCCATCAGTGCCGCCTATCAGTGCCCATCAGTGCCGCCTATCAGTGCCCATCAGTGCTGCCTCATCAACGCACATCAGTGAAGGAGAAAAAATACCTGTTTGAAAAATTTTATAAAAGAAACAAATAAACTTTTTTTTTTTTTCAAATTTTTTGCACTTTTTTTATTTATAGTGCAAAAAGTAAAGCGCCCAGTGGCGATTAAATACCACCAAAAGAAAGCTCTATTGGTGAGAAAAAAATTATCAAGATTTCATATGGGTACAATGTTGCATGACCGCGCAATTGTCAAAGTGAGGCAGCGCTGAAAGCTGAAAATTGGCCTGGTAAGGAAGGGGATATAAGTGCCCGGTAGGCAAGTGGTTAAAAAAACAGAACTTCAGAAGTCTTACCAGAGTGGTGTAGAGAGTGCAGACCAATCCCATAGTCAATACCACCCCCCACAGGCTGAATCCGGTAACTGCAACAAAGAAAACAAATTCAGACTTTCCAGACAATTTGGTTATTCGTTTAGCAGCCGTTTAAAACAGTGTTAAACATACAAATAATCATAACCAGCCATTAACCTGGATAAAGGTGCAACCAACTTAACTGTTAGTCCAGCTAAAATTTAGATTTCAGCTATTAATGTAGTCTGATAAATTGGTCATCTGCTGTCTCTTGGGGCATCAAGCAGTGACATTGTCCGGCAATAGTTCCTGGCTTTTCTCCAACGTCCTCCTAAAAAAGTTGCTTTCTGCTACAAACGAGGGTAATCCTCTTACATGGTACATAATAAAAACAAAAATTTTTTTTAACAAAAATAATTTTTCAACTTCATGGTTAAAGCAGAGCTCCACCCAAAAGGGGAAGTTCCACTTTAAGTCTTCATTCCTTGGTTCCTGTTAAGGAACGGCACCTTTGGGGAGCGGGGTGGGGAAGGGGGTACCAGAATTTGACAGGTACCCCTCCCACTTCCGCTGTGATTGCCTAGGCCAGGGGTAGGCAACCTGAGAGCCGCAGGACTACAAGTTCCATCATTCCTCTGCAAGTCATAGCTCTGTCAGTTTTGTAATCTTTGCAATGCCTCATGGGAAATGTAGTTCCACAACAGCTAGAGAGCCGCAGGTTGCCTACCCCTGGCCTAGGCGATCGGAAGTAGAAGTTGTCCTCTCCCTCCCCATAGTCTTCTGGGACATGTGATACGCCTCAAAAGACTACGGGACCATTCACAAAGAGCAGAGCTACTCATGCATGTGTAGTGGGCACCCACAATGTCACAGCCGGGTGCCCACACTGAAGATGCCATCGCTGGGGACACAGGACGGGAATTGTGAGGACACTGTGGGAGAGGTGTCTGTTTTGTTTTTTTTAAGTTTTTTTAGCAGCTAAAGATTTTGTAGCTGCTGACTTTATTTTGACTGGACCTTTTTTTTTCTTCTACAGGAGTTACCCTCTCCATACTCCAGCAATGTAATCTGCATTCTCCTCCAGTCCGGTCAGGGATGCAATTCCAGATTGCCACACATGACACAAAAAAAAAAAAGAGGATCCAGGAGCCGCACATGACTAGACTGAAGACAGTTCCAAAAATGGTACTGATTGTAAAGAGAAATGGCTCAACGGGTACTGGTCCTGGAACAGGCCAAGGAGCTTTGTCCTGTGCTGGAGGACATCAGACAGCAAGTCCATAGCACAAAACATCTGCTCATCTAAGTCACCGATTAAACTAGCAAACACAGAAAACGACAGTAGAGAAAAAAAAAAAAAAAAAGACCAAGTGGTCCATTGAGTCTGCCTGATTTGTTTGTTTGTTTTTCTGTTAACTTCTATAGATCGAGGTTTGTCCCATGCATGTTTGAAGCCCTTTACGGTTGACTGGCTCACTAACCTCTGCTGGAATCTATTTGAAGCATCAACACTCTTTCAGTAAAATATAACTTTCTAAGATTAGTTTTGAACTTTCCTCCAGTTAGTTTGAGGTCATGTCCCTTGATTTTGGTTTCGTGTTGAAAACACTGCCCTCCTGAACCTTATTCAACCCCTTGATGAATTTAAAAGGTTACAGTCATGTTTCCACTTTCCCTTCTGGTTCTCCAGACTGGACATGTTAAGTTCCTGAAGTCTCTCGATTGTTTTTATTCTTTAGACCTTTTACCATTTTTTATCGGTCTCTGGACTCATTCTATCTTACCAATATGTTTTTATAAGTGAGGTCTCAAGAACTGAACAAGATATTCTAAATGAGGTCTCACTAAAGATCTAGTCATGCCCAAAAATCTTGTCCCTCCCTGTATTTCTGTCAGATAACGCACCACTTCGCCCAGAAAATTGCTGCAATTACAAACGGTTCGGCATTCTCATTTATTTTGTTTGTATAGGTATGACATAAAGTGGAGAAACAAAAAGCCAAATCTGACACATTCCCCCAAAAACCCCAAAAAAATGGGCTGGACAAAATTATTGGCACCCTCAATTTAATATTTGGTAGCGCACCCCTTGGAAAAAGAAAAAATAAAATAACTGAAATCAATCTCTTCCTGTGACCATCAATGAGTTTCTTCCACCTCTCTACTCGAATTTAGGAGCAATCTTCTTTCGCCAACTGCTCCAGGTCTCTCAGATTGGAAGGGTTCCTTTTCCCAACTGCTGTTTTGAGATCTCTCCACAGGAGCTCTATGGGATTGAGATCTGGACTCATTGCTGGCCAGTTCAGTCCTCTCCAGCGCTTTGTCTGAAACCATTTCTGGGGGGCTTCTTGACGTGTGCTTTGGGGCATTGTCCTGCTGTAAGACCCATGACCTCCGATGGAGACCCAACTTTCTGACACTGGGCCCTACATTGCACCCCAGGATTCTTTGGTAGTCTTCAGATTTCATAATGCCATGCACACGGTCAAGACATTCCGTGCCTAAAGCAGCAAAGCAACCCCAAAAAAAAAAAAATCAGTGACCCCCCACTATGTGTGACTGCAGGGACTGGATTCTTTTCTTTAAAGGCCTCATTGCTTTTCCTGAAAACAGAATGATGTGCTTTAACAAAAAAGCTGTCATTTTGTTTCTTCTGTCCACATTACTTTCGCCAAAAAATATTTTGGCTTCCTTAGGTAAGGTTTGGCAAACTCCAATGAGGCGTTTTTAGATTTCTATATTCCTGAGTTTCCTAACATAGCGCCCATTTTCATTCAGATGGCCACGTATAGTGCGAGCTGACACAGTTGTATCCTGTGCCTGAAAGTCAGCTTAGATTTCGTTGCAATCTTTGATCAAGTTTTCTTTGGTCCACATCTAGGGAGATTAGCTACAGTTGACAATGGTGTGCACAGTGGACACAGAAACATTAAGATTTCTGGAGATGGACTTGTAACCTGGAGATTGTCCATGCTTTTCCATAATTTTTCTCCTCAGACAATTCTTTGCTGCTCTTCCTTTTCTTCATGTGGCACACAGAGACACACAACAGAATGGCTGAGTCAATTTTTCACCATTTTAACTGGTTGCGGGTGTGATTTCTATATCGTCAGCACAATGTTAATTGATACAGAGACGTTTAATTACAAACTACAAGAGAATCACTAACTTGGAATGGAATTATTTATTACATTTTGGAGAAGGTGCTAATCCTTTTGTCCAGTCCATTTTTGGGGATTTGTGTGGAATGTGTCAGATTTTGCTTTTTGTTTCTCCACTTTTGTGTCATACCAATATAAACGAAAGAAACATAAGAATGCTTAAACATTTGTAATTGAAAAAATTTTCTGGACGAAGTGGTGCATTATCTGACAGAAATGCAGGGGTGCCAATATGCAGGGGTGCCATGACTGTATATAGGGGAATCAAGACATCTTTCCTCTTGCTGGTGATCCCTCTATTGATGCATCCTAGATTTCCCACACAATCATGATGAGGGGCTCCAGGATTTATGTTGGATATGGAGAAAAAAAAAAAAATCTTAAATAGGTGCTGTTTTGGGTCCTGCAGTTCCGGCCTAACAGGGTGTCCCCTAGCGGGTTCAAGACAGGCAGCACTTGTAACTTTTTAGTGTTCTGTCAACAGTCTGCCTTTTCACCCAGCAGCAGGAACCCACAGCAGAGAGAGCAAGAGATCCTTGATTAGTAAGTTTACAGGAATGTGAATATTCAAGACTAATAAGGATGTCTACCTACCAGGTAAGATGAGGACCTAGGAATGGAGGCTTTATCTCACTCAAAGCCCTACAAAGCCACCAAGCTGCAGGACCCAGAACAGAACCTATTCAGGATTTATGTCAAATATGGAAAAAAAAACAAATCTTGAGTCCCTCATCATGAGTACATGGGAAATCTAGGTGACATATGCACCATCCACAATAATGCCAGCAGCTCACATACATAGTTACATAGTTAGTCTGGCTGAAAAAAAGACAAAAGTCCATCCAGTTCAACCATAGAAAAAAAAAAAAAATAATAATAATTATAATCCTACACCCACAGATGATCCAGAGGAAGGGAAAAAAACCCAGCAAAGCATGATCCAATGTGCTCCTGCTGGGAAAAAAAAAAAAATACGCCTGAAGAAAAAAAAAAAAATGGGGGAGGTTGCTCCAGGAATATGGGTTCTCCACTGGGGTAGGGCTGCCCTACCTATAACTAGGCATTAAAAATTTAACATGGAGGTTGCAGCCTACATCAGTGCCATTCCCAGGCTACTACAGGCACTTTCCAAAACCAACCAGCCATGTTCAAAAGATAGCTGTTAACCTTGATGCTTTAAAATGATTAAAACTGGCCTGGTATATAATTGGACTGTGTAAATCAAACGTGACTGACAGTGTAATCAATGATTTATATAAAGAGCTGAATCGGATCATATTGAGGGATTTTATTTCTTATGTAGATCATGGATACTGCTTGAAAGTACCAAAATGCTGAAAAAAAAGTGCTATGAGTTTGATTCCATCTCCTCTATACAAAAAAAAAAATCCCTCAATGATGAGCATACACTACTGGGACCCATTGGGGGTTCACTCCTTAGCCCCTCATCTGGAAAAGTAACGCTCATGGGTATTTGTGTGCCTTTACATTGTCTTAGAGGTTTCTTTACGTTTGTTACCTGCATAAAAGGCCAGAGCTGGAGCATACAACACCACTCCCATATATATCACCTGCAGACAGAACAGAAGCACAGGTTAGAAAACAATAGGGTGTGTATATATTACACACTAAAACTTTTTGATACCACTCTAACACACCAACAGATGGCATCAAAAGGCAGTACGCACAGTCACAAGGTGCAAGGACTTTCATAAGTCAGTGTGCCAAAAGACATCGTCCCGTGTACATCGAGGGCTGAGCAACTGGTGCTATTCTGACCACCTGCATTACCATGTCTGCTATTTCATCATGGACAGCAAGTCAGAACAAAAAGCAAACGTGAAATCCAGCATGAAACTGGGCAAAATCGGTGGATCTCTGCAATGTTGTAAAAAAATGGTGACCTTTGAGCTGGATCTTCATCTTCAGGAAGAGGGCATTTTCAAGGGTTGGGCTTGTTGAAGGTCTTCCTGATCTCCCATCATCCAGTGATGTTCTTCCGGTCTTGAAGCGCACACACCCACTCAAAGCACCTCAAACGACTCAATGCAGCATCGCCGTAATCTCGCGGAATCATGTCAAACATTTCTGTGGCAGATTTGCTCAGTTTCACACAGAATATTTACATTTGCTCTTTGTTCTAACTTGCTGTCCATGAGGAAATAGCAGACTTGGTAACGCACATGGTCAGAATAGCACCAGTTGCACAGCTCCCGATGTAAACAGGACATTGTGTTTTGGCACACTGATTTACGAAGGTCGGTGCTCTCTGTGACTCTGCAGCCTTGTGCTGCCATCTGTTGTTGTATTACAAAACTAGTCTCAAAACTTTTTGATACCACCTTGTGTGTATGTGTATATAAAATATAATTATTATACAGGATTTATATAGTGTGATCAGTTTACCCAGAGCTTTACAACATGAGGGCATACAGTACAGTTACAACACAATTCAAAAACAGGAGGAACCAATATATTTTAAATTATACACACTGAACAGCCATAACATTATGACCACTGGCAGGTGAAATTAACACATTGATATAGGGGATATATTGGCCAGCAAGTAAACATGTCTCTCTGAAGCAGGGGCGGACTGACAACTCATGGGGCCCCTGGGCAATAGGGGATCATGGGGCCCCTATGTCCTTGCCCAAACTCAAAAAAGCTTATGAAAAAAGGTACCAGGGCATCTCATGGGGCCCCCTACTGACCCCGGGCCCTGGTTTCCAAATGGTCAGTCCACTCCTGCTCTGAAGCTAAAGTGTTGAAAGCAGGGGGGAAAAAATGAAAGGGAAAAATAATTGGATCTGCGCGACTGACAAAAGGGACAAAATGCCCAGACAGCTGGTTCAGAGCAGAACCAAATCTGCAGCTCCAGCTCTAGTTGAATGTTCCTGGTCTGCAGTGGTCAGGACCAATCAAAAGTGGTCCAAGGAAGGAAAACCAGCAAAAATCAGCAACAGGGTCATGATCAGCCAAGGCTCACCGATAGTCGTGGAGACTGAAAGCTGGTCCATATAGTCCGATCCTATAGAAGAACTACAGCAGATCAAAATTGCTAGAAAAGTTAATGCTGGTTCTGATACGTTTGGGGCTGTATAGGCTGCAGACTGGCCAGGGTGCCCATGCTGTTCATAGCCAAAAGTGCCTACAATAGGCACATGAGCACCAGAACTGGACCACGGAGTAACCAAGAAGGTGGTGTGGTCTGATGAATCACGTTTTCTTTTACATCATGTAGATGGCTAGGTGTGTGCGCACGTCGCTTTCCTGGGGAAGAGATGCCACCAAGATGCAGTATGGGAAGAAGAGAAGCTGTTGGAGGCAATGATCTGATACTGGCAGCTTAGCGGCAGATACGGATTAACCCAGGTCTGCCATATCCTAGTATATTTGGGGATTCTGTCTGCTTAGGAGTCCCTCTCTCTTTCTGTTTTTAGTTTTATTGAAGCTATGTTTGGAGCTCTTCCAAGCTTTAGTTGGCTTGTCTGCTATATGCTCCATGATATACTTGTTGAAACACATCCTTGTGAGCTCCTGCCAGCTGCACAAAAACACCCCTATTTGAAGCAGAGGAAAAAAAAAAAAAAAAAAAAAATTATATATATTACATTTTTTATATTTTTTTTTTTTTTTGAAACAGGGAAAACAAAAATTAAAAGTTTTGTTTTCCCTTTGCTTAAAAAGAAAAAAAAAGAAAATTATATATTTTATATATATATATATATATATATATATATATATATATATATATCCTCTGCTTGGGTATTTTGTATTTATTATAGCATGTTAGATGCCAAGGATTTGTGATCATTTCATAAAACCTCAAGCACTTTCAAACTTCTCAGTGAGTGTTCTAACACAAAACAACTTGTTTTAGAGTACATTTTGCAATTATACATATATACACAAGACACTAAATCACTCATCAGCGACACAGCTGACCCGACGCCCCTCGCCAGCGGCACAGCTGACCCGACGCCCCTCGCCAGCGGCACAGCTGACCCGACGCCCCTCGCCAGCGGCACAGCTGACCCGACGCCCCTGAGAAGACTATATGGTAATGGGAAGAAAGGATGCTGGAGCTACAGGGTAAGAATGACAGCTGCTTAACCACAATGCTGAAAAGACTCACCATCTGAAATATGAAGGTGATGGTTCCGCAGATTCGCACAGCTTTATTGAACCGTAGCTCCAGGTACTGCAAGTGGGAGAAACAGAAATGTCAGAACAAATCGTCATTCAGAAGGTATTGCGATTGGACTTTGCTTGAAATTTAGGGAGAGTTCTCAAAGTAGTAAAGCGGTCCTAAGGAGACCCTGTTATATCTCTAATAAATAAAAGCAGCAGTTCCCTGTATGATAAGAGGTAGTATATTTTAGGTGGTTTGAGACTTCTCCATCCACCCAGTACTGCAGCCTTCATCAGCATCTTCATCATTCAACAATCTGAAGTGCTGACGCTGGTATACCCCATCGTGCCCCGAGGTGCAACTACAGACAACTGCCATTTTATTTTCACTTCATCTCTTCAGATATGACATGTTCATGTCAGGCTGCAAAACAATTTAGAGAAAGCTCAAGCCGTAGCAAAACAAAAATGATTGTACTTTGGTTAGTTATAGCTTAAAATGTATTACACTTTTGCATCCAAATTGGGATAATGCCCAATTTAAATTTGTAACATGTCCCCATTCACATAGCAGAACTTAAAATAAAATATTAAAAATTGAATCTTACCTTTAGACGATCTATTCTGGATATTCCAGTGAGGGAAAATCCTAGGTAGTGGTCTTTGTTTCTGAGGCGGATGAAGCAGCTGTGTTTGCCATAATTAATCCTGTCTGTACTGTAGAGGCAGATCTTTATCATCAGTTTCAACTTAATCTGAACACTGCCTGTCCTAACAAAGGGTTACATGTTTAGAGGCTGGGGCTTTTTGCATTGTATGTTAATGAGGACAGACTTGGGACAGGCATCCCTCAAAAAGACTTGCAGTCAGCTATGACTCCACCTCAAGAGAAACATCGAAATCTTGTTCCATAGCTGTCCAAGCTCTTCTGCTGGCATCCCTGAAACCATTGCTGCACTTCACTGCCACTAAAAAGGCACCGGGTCTGGTCCCTCCCCCCTTCTCCTCAACGCTCAAGGCCAAATTTTCCAGGGCCCAGCGATGACGGAGTTCTTTCGGGAAGTGATGACCAGCAACATTTCTAGTTCCGCCAGAATCTTCCACCAAAAGGAAATGCCTCCAAACTACCAGCTGAGGGAACAGGCAGCCTCAAAATCCAGCAACACACCTCCCAGTGACACCTAAACAAGCCTAAGTCCCAATCAGAGCAGGGGACTTGGCCCATATGCCCTTGTGGATGAATCATTGAAGGGCTTGACACCATTGCTAGTACTGACCCTCACTGGGTATTGAAGGAAAAGGGAGAACAGGTAACCAAGGAAGGATACTGTGGCCACAAGAAAGAAAAGTGGATACTTTTCATAAAAGTCGTGATTTCAAGTCTTCTTCCTGGATCTTCCAAGACATGTCGTCCTCTCAAAAATTAGGATTTGAAAGCCTCCAAAGCAACGTATCTCCTCTTAACAGAGAAAATATGAAAAGTGAAGTATGTGCCCGGAGGACCGCTTTTTAAAAATCCCATTGTGGATGAATCATTGAAGGACTTGGCACCATTGCTGGTACTGACCCTCACCAGGTATTGAAGGAGAATGGAGAACGGGTCATCTACCCACACCAAGGAAGGATACTGTGGCCAAGGAAGGATACTGTGGCCAAGGAAGGATACTGTGGCCAAGGAAGGATACTGTGGCCAAGGAAGGATACTGTGGCCAAGGAAGGATACTGTGGCCAAGGAAGGATACTGGAGGACCGCTTTTTAAATCCTAATCTGGTAATGTGTGCCTGTCCTGGGGGAAGAGCTCCATATCTCAGAGGCTCTCTTGGAATACTACTGTGGAGACATTTTTTTTTTTTGTCATGCTGTGTGAAAGGGAACACAAAACAAACAATAGGGTTCTCTGAAATTTGACTGCAAAAGTGGAAATGCGCTTTAAACCAAGCCTGACCTGCCTCAGGTAACTGTGTTGAAGTTACCTGAGGGATCCCCATGGATCCCAGGACCCAAGGTTGTACCCAGAGGTCCTGGGTACAACCTGGGTCCTGGGATCCATGGGTAACCCTCAGGTAACTTCAAACGCAGTTACCTGAGGGTTCCCCATGGATCCCAGGACCCAGGTTGTACCCAGAACCCCTTGAATTAAGTCCGAATTAAGCTCTACCCTCCCTCCAGATGCCATCAAAACTAATAATTGTCAAACGAGGGCGTTTTCTGCTTAAATTCCAGCATTTAAGGACCATAGGATTGGGGTCTGGAGGTGACAGAGCTTAAGAAAGTCAAGGCCCCATGTACAGAATAGATCTAGGATCCATGCAGGCTCAATGGAGACACTGTAGACCAAGCTGTCATTACCAAGCACCATAATGTGCTACACTTCGGCATGGCTACCTTAAGATCCCTTTTAAAGGACAGGATATTTTTTGCTTTAAATACAAAAAAAGTTTTTATTTTTTTCATACATTTTAAAAGAACATCAGCTCACTCATAACAATCTTATCAAGGTGTGTTAATGGATTTAGAAGAGCGGTTAACAGTATGCCAACCAGCAGCAAGAAATGCGAAGCTGCAGCTGATTAAGTAAATCAAATCTTCCACTGCATTAATACACACATATAAAGCAAGTATAGCAATCATGCTGTATAAGCCACTCGTAAGGCTGTACCTGGAATGTCTCGTACAGTTTTGGATACCATACTGTAAGAAGGACATAGGAGATTTGGAGATAGTACAGAGGCAGATAACTACATTTGTAAAGGGTATTGGAGACATTGCTGGTAATAAACAAGTATGGGCTTTCAGAGTCTGGAAAAAGAAAAGCCAGCTTAGATGTGATCTAATTCAGTATGTCTAGTAAATGTATGCACAACCAAAGATTTGCCATGCAAGCTTTGAAAAATGAACCGATGCCCGCTTTTGGACAAAATGATTTACATATCGATACCAAGGCGTTAACCACTTGCCTACCGGGCACTTTTACCCCCTTCCTGCCCAGGCCAATTTTCAGCTTTCAGCGCTTTCACACTCTGCATGATAATTGCGCGGTCATGCAACACTGTACCCATATGAAATTTGTATCATTTTTTGAGAGAGATAGAGCTTTCTTTTGGAGGTATTTAATCACCTCTGGGTTTTAAATTTTTTTTCTAAACAAAACTAAAAAAACCTAAATTTTGGGTAAAAAAAAAAAAGTTAGTTTTTGTTATAAAATTTTGTAAAATAAGTCATTTTTCGCATTCACTGATGGGTACTGAAAGGCATCATTGATGGGCACTGATAGGCAACACTGATGAGGAGGCATTGATAGGCGGTACTAATGGGCATTGATAGGCATCACTAATAGGCACAGAAAGGCAGCTCTGGCGGGCATTGATGGGTACTGACAGGCTTCACTGATGGGCACTTATAGGTGGCACTGATGGGTACTGGTAGACTGCACTGATTAGGAGGCATTGATAGGCGGTACTAATGGGCATTGATAGGCATCACTAATAGGCACAGAAAGGCAGCTCTGGCGGGCATTGATGGGTACTGACAGGCTTCACTGATGGGCACTTATAGGTGGCACTGATGGGTACTGGTAGACTGCACTGATTAGGAGGCACTGATAGGCGGCACTTATGGGTATTGAAAGGCATCAGTAATGGGCACTGAAAGGCAGCTCTGGTGGGCACTGACAGGCATCACTGATAGGTACTGGTAGAGTGCACTGATAAGCGGCACTAATGGGTATTGACAGGCATAACTATTGGGTACTGAAAGGCAGCACTAATGGGCACTGAAAGGCAGCACTGATCATCAGTGTAGCTGTCCCCTCTGAGGAATCTCAGCTCTCCTCTCACACTGTCAGCGTGCGGAGAGGACTGCTAATAACCGACAATTTCTGTTTACGTGATCAGCTGTGATTGGACAGAGCTGATCAAATGATAGAGCCTATGTAATCGTCTCTTTACCGCGATTGGTGATCCGAGAGAGACAGCATACCACCAATCACCGCGCGCCTGGTGGTGCGCATGCACAACTAGAGTGGGAAGACATCCTATAATGTTCATCCAGAACAAAGGAGCTCTTGCCCATCCATCATTAACCCTGTACGGCAGGCGGGAGGAAGTTAAGTTAAAGAGCTTGAAAACAAGTCCTCACTGACCTCTGTAGTTGCAAGTAGTACGGAGAAATTCACACTCAAATTTCAAATCAGAAGCAATGAAATCTCAACTCCACCCCATTATTTTCTCTGCAGCTGTGACATGGAAGCCTGTCTGCCTTCTAATATAGAACACGGCGGATAATGAGACCCTCTCCACAATAAAATGCTTCCCTAATTTAGTTTAACACTAAGTGATAAACATGATAATTCTATCACCATCGGGCTGCTGTTCTAAAAAATACCCCAGACTATATAAAACTATTAAAGTCAGAGATCACTAAACATAATAGTTTTATACAAAACACCATGCAGGTCTTATAAGCCGTAAGGCCTAGTTCACACGGACATACTTGTGCGTACACCAGCATGGGGGTGGGGCTTGCCACCCAAAAGAATGCACAGGTGTTCCATGAGTCCCTGTGCAGACGATCCCATTCTTGTCAGTTAGGATGCAGCAGCTGCACGGACACAGCTATTGCTCCCAATTTGCCAGACGTGTGAGTGCACTGCAATGGAAGCACACTGCCAGTGCTCAGGGCTGTGCACACCTCCAGCTGTCACATTGGGAGCAGTTGATATGTCCTTGCCGCCCCTGCGACCCAACTGACATGAAAAGTTTCACAGTACCTGCAGCTACAGAGGTCAGTAAGCCCCGGCGACCCAACTGACATGAATGGGACTGCCTGCACTGGGGGCATGGAACATCTTTGCATATTCAAGTGGGCAAACACGGCCCTCACATAGGGTACGCATTGATACACTCAGTATGAAAAAGGCCTAATAGTCGCCGTGTTTCTGATCACCCCCCGCACCAGTGACAATGTTACCGGACCAGTATAGCCAGTACCAGCGCACGTGATCTTTACTACACCCTCACACAGATGTGAGCGGTGAACCAGGCCTTAGAAACGAGTGAAACTAGGGTGTT